ATGTGTAAAGAATTAAATCTTTTAGCGAAAGCCGCTATCGCTGTATGTATTAAATGGCCAACTATATGGCCTAGGAGACAAATTCGTTAAACTTCCCGTGCTCGAATTGGTATCACTAAAGTGTTATGATCATTTCGGCCTATCCCAGCCATCGTCAGACACTTGGGCTGATACAAATTCAAACTCGGAAAGTAAAACGAATGTCTCCCAATCTTCACTACCGTGTAGTTAGCTTATAAAGGCGCCCTCTATTTTGAAGGCCGTGAACGAAACGATATGAATAATCGTTTTCTGTATCCTTTATGCTATGCGAAATGTGTAAAGAATTAAATCTTTTAGCGAAAGCCGCTATCGCTGTATGTATTAAATGGCCAACTATATGGCCTAGGAGACAAATTCGTTAAACTTCCCGTGCTCGAATTGGTATCACTAAAGTGTTATGATCATTTCGGCCTATCCCAGCCATCGTCAGACACTTGGGCTGATACAAATTCAAACTCGGAAAGTAAAACGAATGTCTCCCAATCTTCACTACCGTGTAGTTAGCTTATAAAGGCGCCCTCTATTTTGAAGGCCGTGAACGAAACGATATGAATAATCGTTTTCTGTATCCTTTATGCTATGCGAAATGTGTAAAGAATTAAATCTTTTAGCGAAAGCCGCTATCGCTGTATGTATTAAATGGCCAACTATATGGCCTAGGAGACAAATTCGTTAAACTTCCCGTGCTCGAATTGGTATCACTAAAGTGTTATGATCATTTCGGCCTATCCCAGCCATCGTCAGACACTTGGGCTGATACAAATTCAAACTCGGAAAGTAAAACGAATGTCTCCCAATCTTCACTACCGTGTAGTTAGCTTATAAAGGCGCCCTCTATTTTGAAGGCCGTGAACGAAACGATATGAATAATCGTTTTCTGTATCCTTTATGCTATGCGAAATGTGTAAAGAATTAAATCTTTTAGCGAAAGCCGCTATCGCTGTATGTATTAAATGGCCAACTATATGGCCTAGGAGACAAATTCGTTAAACTTCCCGTGCTCGAATTGGTATCACTAAAGTGTTATGATCATTTCGGCCTATCCCAGCCATCGTCAGACACTTGGGCTGATACAAATTCAAACTCGGAAAGTAAAACGAATGTCTCCCAATCTTCACTACCGTGTAGTTAGCTTATAAAGGCGCCCTCTATTTTGAAGGCCGTGAACGAAACGATATGAATAATCGTTTTCTGTATCCTTTATGCTATGCGAAATGTGTAAAGAATTAAATCTTTTAGCGAAAGCCGCTATCGCTGTATGTATTAAATGGCCAACTATATGGCCTAGGAGACAAATTCGTTAAACTTCCCGTGCTCGAATTGGTATCACTAAAGTGTTATGATCATTTCGGCCTATCCCAGCCATCGTCAGACACTTGGGCTGATACAAATTCAAACTCGGAAAGTAAAACGAATGTCTCCCAATCTTCACTACCGTGTAGTTAGCTTATAAAGGCGCCCTCTATTTTGAAGGCCGTGAACGAAACGATATGAATAATCGTTTTCTGTATCCTTTATGCTATGCGAAATGTGTAAAGAATTAAATCTTTTAGCGAAAGCCGCTATCGCTGTATGTATTAAATGGCCAACTATATGGCCTAGGAGACAAATTCGTTAAACTTCCCGTGCTCGAATTGGTATCACTAAAGTGTTATGATCATTTCGGCCTATCCCAGCCATCGTCAGACACTTGGGCTGATACAAATTCAAACTCGGAAAGTAAAACGAATGTCTCCCAATCTTCACTACCGTGTAGTTAGCTTATAAAGGCGCCCTCTATTTTGAAGGCCGTGAACGAAACGATATGAATAATCGTTTTCTGTATCCTTTATGCTATGCGAAATGTGTAAAGAATTAAATCTTTTAGCGAAAGCCGCTATCGCTGTATGTATTAAATGGCCAACTATATGGCCTAGGAGACAAATTCGTTAAACTTCCCGTGCTCGAATTGGTATCACTAAAGTGTTATGATCATTTCGGCCTATCCCAGCCATCGTCAGACACTTGGGCTGATACAAATTCAAACTCGGAAAGTAAAACGAATGTCTCCCAATCTTTTGATTGGGAAAATTCGTAAAACGAATGTCTCCCAATCTTTTGATTGGGAGACATTCGTTTTACTTTCCGAGTTTGAATTTGTATCAGCCCAAGTGTCTGACGATGGCTGGGATAGGCCGAAATGATCATAACACTTTAGTGATACCAATTCGAGCACGGGAAGTTTAACGAATTTGTCTCCTAGGCCATATAGTTGGCCATTTAATACATACAGCGATAGCGGCTTTCGCTAAAAGATTTAATTCTTTACACATTTCGCATAGCATAAAGGATACAGAAAACGATTATTCATATCGTTTCGTTCACGGCCTTCAAAATAGAGGGCGCCTTTATAAGCTAACTACACGGTAGTGAAGATTGGGAGACATTCGTTTTACTTTCCGAGTTTGAATTTGTATCAGCCCAAGTGTCTGACGATGGCTGGGATAGGCCGAAATGATCATAACACTTTAGTGATACCAATTCGAGCACGGGAAGTTTAACGAATTTGTCTCCTAGGCCATATAGTTGGCCATTTAATTGAAATATTTACTTGAATATTCTCTAAATAGTCCTTATAACATACTGCTTGTAATGATTTACATCTTTCCCTTAACACCGAAAATTTCTCATATGAGTTGCCTGAAGCTTTACAATTCCTGTAAGCTATTTTTTTCTGTATAACAAGCTCAATTAATTCTCGCGAAAACCAATATTATACAATACCAGTATAATCCTAAAGAAAAACACTTTATAAAATCAATTCTGCCACAGTCAATAAAAGCTTTAAGTTCAAATTTAGGTTTTTGTTTTAGTACCTGGTGGTAACTGTCATGGCTTTAGTCTTATTATATTAAATTTAGTGGGAGTGGTAGGGTTTTATTTGACGATTTATCTTATTTTTTTATTTGATAGTATAACTCTTCAAGAATATCCAGTTAAAATTTGAGAGTGATCGTCGAGAGCATGAGCAAAAAGATACTAAAGATATTTTAACAGGAAACATGTCACTATAGGGACCTGGAATAGACGATACTGTGTGAATATAAAAAGATACGTTTTTTTATACGCGGAATTTTTTTCGGCATAATTTTTTTCAAGTCGGTGTTCATTGTATCTTAAAAACTACTTGATCGATCCTTTTCAAATTTTGCACACTTCTTTTATAGACAAATTATTAGATCGCAACGTCTAGATATTGTCCACTTTGTTGTTATAATTAATTTTACATCAAATTAGTCAATTTTTAAAACGCACTAACAAAAGCTGTTCCAATTAAACGTGGAGTGAGTCTGGACTGCGTACTGAGCTCTTTGTTTTTTAACATGTACTCTGAAATTGTATTCATAGACGTAGTTGAAGGCTTAGATGATGCCATAAAAATAACTTAAGATATGCCGATGAAAGTTAAAATTGCACAGATACCTGGAGGTTTACAGCGCCTGCTTGACAAGATATTAGTGGAAGATCTATTGGGTTTAAAAATTAACTCCGCAAAGACGACGATGTTAGTGGTAAACCGAACTCCGGACCAACCAGTGCACATGTATACGGTACAGAAATAATTAAAGTTTCCAAGTTTAAATAGTTGGGCAGCTGGATCAGGGAAGATCTAAATCCTGACTTGAAAATTGGAGTCCGAATTGAAATAGCCAGTGCAAACTTTTTGAAAATGCGAAACTTCGTATAGGATAGATCATTCGATCTGCAAATAAGATACAATTTGTGAAATGGCCGCTTAAAGTTGCCAGTTTGGACTGACCTGAAGCTTTTGAAAACTATGTATATAGGCGAATGTTAAGAAGGCCTTGGACTACCACATCACAGCAACTTGAAAGTTCACCGCCGAATGAGGAGAGAAAGTGAGCTCTTTGAAAAAAGCGAAAAACTGCATATCTCGGACATGTAACAAGAAACCTGGACCAGGATGAAGACATGGCCTAAAAACATACGAGATTTGGTAAGCTTGGGCTTGAACGAGTCGCTGAGAAAGGCCCAGTACTGAGAAGAATTTGCTGAAGTTGTCGATCTTCGATAGAAGAAGGTATTCGAATAAGAAGAATTTGACATGAACTTCACGAACATCCACTTTCACATTATCTTTAAGTGCGGTTTCCTTTCTAATGATTTTTCTTGTACAAGTTTTCTGAAGTGTGCATGCATTTTAGCCACAGTACTCTGCGCAATATTAGGAAACTGAGGATACCTTTGCCTGAATAAGTTTTCCACTTCATCTTGACTTCTGCAATTATTCCCGTAACTATATTATTAAAATTTCAATTCGATTGGTCTCAGTTAAATATTTTATTATTACTTCTGAAAGAAATTAGTTTTTAGGTAGAAATTTACTATTTTAATATAAGATGTCAATACATAAAAAAGGGTCAGATAAAAATCCGCATTATTTTCCGATTTAGTCTAATTATTGACATTCTAGATAGTTTTTGGCTGTTCATGAATATATTATTGATACTAGTTTAGAAATATGATGTCTGTATTTAGCTAATAAAAAAATAATTATTTAAAGCGTAATAAATTATTGATTTCAAAATTTTACCTTGTATTATTTATAGTAGACCCTACATGATATAGCGTTGAAATCAGGTTTTTAACAAGCTTTTAAAAACAAAAATATAGAGGGTGTGTCATTAAAAATAAAGATCATGGACTATGCTGGATTTGCGTGAATCATCCTGTATATTTAAATTTATGTTTAATTAGTACATTTAAATTTAAAAGTTGATGGGTCCCAGCGATTTTTTTTAATTTTGTGAAATAAAGACACACGTTTATTCCATAAGTGGTTTCCATAACTGTCAAGTATGCGCTATACGACTTATAATGCTGAATAAACACTTGTAATACATAAATATATTGTAGTCCTAACATTAGCCGATGTCATTCAATAACTTTTGTTTCAGGTTGCCAGGTGAAGCGCAAAAGATTGATAGACTGATGGAAAAATTCGCCAGTAGATACTGTGAATGCAACCCCAACAATGGTCTATTTGCAACTGCAGATACAGCTTACGTCCTTGGTTTTTCTATAATTATGCTCACGACTGATCTACACTCGCCTCAAGTCAAAAACAAAATGACCAAAGAGCAATATATCAAACTGAACAGAGGAAATACCGAGAGTAAAGACGTACCCGAAGAATACCTCTCTCAAATATACGATGAAATATCGGGACATGAGATCAAAATGAAAAATCCAGTTAACAAACCAGGCAAACAACAGATCAACAGTGAAAAGAGAAGAAAAATTCTTTTTAATATGGAGATGGAGGCGATTTCCACTGCCGCTAAGAATCTTATGGAATCTGTTTCACATGTCCAAGCACCATTTACTCTAGCCAAACATCTTGAACACGTGAGACCCATGTTTAAGATGGCTTGGACCTCGTTTTTGGCTGCTTTTAGTGTTGGATTACAAGATTGTGATGACCCTGAAGTTGCCGCTTTGTGCCTGGATGGAATAAGGTAATTAATACAATAAGTTTTAAGTCGTCTCTTTTCACTCCCTCATCGAGTTCTAGCTTGCTGCAGTTATTCGCTATTGTTTGTTAAATAATTTGTAATATGATACTAAACATTTCTATAGCTATTATTTTTAACATTTCCCTTACAGTGCTGCATCCAGATTTAGCCATACGGCTCACACTACTTCTAAGGGGAACATTCAATAATACCAGATACCTCGGTATCAAAAGGTTTGAGCTCTGGTGGGACTCTTTCCGTGTTATCGAGCTCTAGGTGACTTGGTATGCTGGAGTATCTCACAAAAATTTTCGTACACATCTGGACGTTGCCAGGAGTACAGCTTTCTGCATGACCTTATAAAAATATTCATTTAAACCCATCTGTTTTATGTTCGCTAGGAGATTTTCGGGAATAACACCAGTAGTAGATAGAATAATGGGTAATGTCTGGGTACTTTCCATTCTCCATTGTCCCTGATTTGTATTTCTAGATCTCTATACTTTTCGTATTTTCGGCGATCTTTTCGTTGTATTTAACACGTAAATTATTGGTGTTAGGTATCGCCACATCAATTAGTGTTGTTTGTCTAATATGTTTATTAACTAGTCTGAGATCCGGTCTATTATGTGCCACTGGTTCGTCTGTAAGCACAGTGCGGTCAAAGTATAGCTTGTAGTTGTTATTTTCAAGTATTCTGTCCGGGACGTATTGATATTAAGGAAGATGGTCGGTTTGGAGAAGTCCCAGTTTGTCAGCTAGTTCTTGGTAGATAATATTTCCTACTGAGTCATGGGGTTATTTATAATCAGTGCCGACGAACGCCTGGCAGCCATCGGTAAGATGCTGGATGGTTTCTTGGGCTTGGCATCCATATCGGCATTGTCATTTTGTACCTGAGGATTTTTAACAATATATTTCAGGTAATTTTTAGTTGGAATAACCTCATCCTGAATGACAAGTAGAAATCCCTCAGTCTCGGGAAACATCTTTCCTGATGTCAACCAATAGTTCGATGCTGTATTGTCGACATATACTTGGCTGATCTCATTGAGATATCGCCCATGGTGTGCAATTTACGCGTTTACTCATCCAGGTGCAAAATTTTTCTTGCTTAGTCAGGTGGTTTATGCGCATTTCTTGTTATTTCAGTTTAAGCGGTGTTATATTGTCTACTACGAAAATTGCTCTATGTAAAGTAGATATCTCAGCCTGTACCTGAAAATAAGTTCTTAAATTAGCAATCTGTTTATCAAGTAAATTTTTCGCGCTTGCTGTACTACGAGATATTTGTACATATCATTTTCATCTATTGCCTCGATGTTTTGGCCATCTTGCTTATCGAAACCTCCAGGCTGAACCTTTCCTCCTACTATATTTAGTATACGGCATTTGTCTAGTCCAAAGTGCATAGTTATATCATTTGAGAAAGTTTCTAGAATTTTTAGCAATTGATCTAGGTGGTTTCGAATGGAAGCCATTAATTTCAAATCATCCATATACAACAGATGATTGAACTTCGCCACCACAGTATTATTATTTTTGATGATGAAAACCTGAGCCAGTGGAATTCAGCAGTTGAGATAGTGCGTTCATCGCTAAACAGAATCAAAGTGGACAACGAGTCCCCTTGGAAAAGGCCGAGTTGATTGGGATATCTTCAGTTTCGATATTATTTTCACCAGGAAGGTGAATTTTAGTCTTCCACTCCGTCATTATATATTTTAAAAAGATCACAATATTATTATCGACTTTATATATTTTCAATATATCTATCAGCCATTCATGCGGCACTGAATCAAAGGCCTTCTTGTAGTCAGTGAAGGCAGTAAAAAAGTTCCTTTTTTGTAGTGCATCCTTTCTGTCGAGGCTCTATGATATTGTTTAGACACACAGTGTTGTTGGATACGCAGGGCTACACAGGATGTGACCAATTTGTACAAAGTTGGAAGACAAGTAATTGGGCGGTGTTTTGCTGGATCTTGGATATTATTTTGATCCTTTGGTATTAGATAAGTGGTTCCCTGTGTGAAAAATGATGGTATTTCCTGTGGATTAGAGATAACCTGATTAATCAACATTGACAAACACTCATGAACACTCCAAAACTTTTTTAGCCAGAAGTTTTGAACTCCGTTTGGTCCAGGAGATTTCCAGTTATGAAGTTCTTTGATAGTATTTGAGACTTCTTCAGCTGCTTCTTCTCCTGCTGCATTATTATTATTATTTATATTTATTATATCGCTTTTTGAAAGAAATGGAACATGATTTTTACGGTCTGCAAAAGGAAATGTGGCGCTTCATAAAAGGTCAAAGAATGGAGGTAAAGGAACTAATAGAACCAAAACACATAGAGAATGATATGTGGATTGACTATCTAAAAAAGCTCTATGCAGAGAAAGAACAAACGACGCTAGAACCGGAAACACCAGAAATTACCACAAATGAACAACTTAATATACTTAAATGAACAGGAAGTTCGGAAAATACTTGAAAGCCTTAAGAACAGAAAAGCAGCAGGTAAAGATGGGATACCAAACGAATTACTGAATCATTTTGGAGCAGCAATGACAGAACAATTAACAACATTAATTAATAAAATTATGGTTTAATTAATAAAATTATAAAACAATAAAATACAGGAAGAATGGAGAACGAGCGACTAATTACACTATTCAAAAAAGGAGATAAAAACAACCAGAAAACTATAGAGGTGTAAACTTGTTAAATATTACGCTAAACAACTAAAATTTTCCAAGTGCTAATAAACCAAAAGATAAGTTTAGCAGATGAACAACAGAGTTTTCGTAGTGAAAGATCGTGTACAGATGCAATATTCGTTATAAAGCAAATTACTAATAAATCGCTAGAGTATAATTGACCAGCATTTATGTGTCTAATTGACATAAAGAAAGCGTTTGACAGAGTAAGACTCAAAGATATAATCCATCTTAGATGGACAACTTACAGAGCTATAGAAATAGACAGCGGAATCAAACAAGGAGATTCTTTGATCCCCATGCTCTTCAATTTGAACATGGATGAAATCATCAAAAGCGTTAACAAAGGAAGAGGATACAGAATGGGAAACAAAGAAAATTAAAATACTCTGTTACGCAGACGACGCAATATTGATAACCCAAGATGAAGATCCACTAGGAAACTAAGTTCCTGTAGCTGGCTGTATACCATATATCACAAAAACTAAACTTTTTTTTTTAACAAAATTTGTTTAATTTACTGTTTGTATTTTGAGAACGATTTCCGAAGTGGAAATTGAAACGTCAATAAACGTATTTTTATCTTTAATTGTGGCTTATTCCCAGTTAAATAGTAATTAATCCATCATCAGTGTAAACGGGGTATACATGCTATGAGCCACCAAAATATATGGGTCAAAACCCGTTAAATGTTATGAATTTACAGTTGTTTTACATTATATTTAATTACAAATTAGGATGTTTAAGTTACCGTTGGAATTGGTAACATGGCGACGTATACGTCGCCATGATTTCTTCTGTGATTTCTTCTGTGGCTCCCATCCACTTAGACAGCCAATTAAAGCAAACCTCCACGTCGGTAGACACTTCCTCAAGCCATAGACTTACCGATACGGTATATACATAGAGAACGTATTACTCACTCTTCTTCCTGTTACGGTCGTCCTTAGCTTCCACTCAGTCGCGCTCACCTCACAGAATCAGCGGCAATGGCCAAGCATAACACAGTTTTGAGGTGATTGTTCGCCAATAGAATCAATATGGGTTCCATTCTCGCGCAATTTTTATCTGACCACTCCTTAGCTTGTCAGTCGTTCTCGCGTTACAACTGCGACCAAAACGGACCTGAGATACTCCATATCCATTATCAATGATTGTAATGGTTCCTGTTTTTTTTGTAGTATTTTACATAATTTACCATAATTTTTATATCTTACAATTAGTATAAAAAAAATTCAATATTGAGTGCTTTGTACCGTTATTAGCATAAGGGTAGTTTGTAAGAAGGCATTACTATCTACTTTTGCCGTTTGAGCTTAATGTTTGGTTGACCGTAATACCTTTATTATAAGTTCATTAACTTCCTCTACCGATTTCAGAGGAACTCCGTTTAAAGAATATTTTATATGTGGATTATTATAACCACATTGAACGACACAACACTTACGCATATTTATTAGACTAGCCCATTCGATGCTACATTCTGTTAGCTGATTAAGGTCATTCTGAAGAGTTTTAACGATATCGGAACAGCAATATAACTTTAAATCGTCGACAAATAAAACCGATTTTAACTCGGTTAAATCAGTTACGTACAGCAAAACAGAATAGGCTCTAATGTTGATCCCTGAAGGACACCACAGACACGTGGAGCACTGCAGTCATTTTCCAGTTTGGCCGAAAAAGGTTTACCAGAGAGGAAGTTTTATAACCACAAGTGTTAACTGGTTTGTCAATCTGTGTCTCGTCTTCTGCTGTTGTGTATCCTTGGTATCTTCTTTTATTTTTTGTTTATTGGTATTAATGCCATAACTCTTATATTTTTTTTTAATTTTTGTTCTACTACGTATTTTGCTTTCATTATATTTTGAAGATTTCTTTACATTTTTCAATGCTTTTACCAATGGTTAATTTCTGATAGCAAATAAGTTTACAAATCCATCATCATTATCTTGGCTTTTATCCTCCCTATGCGGGTTCGGCTTCCCTAATTACATTTCTCCATAAGTATCTATCAACACTAATAGCCTTTACCGACATGTCCTGTCTAAGCGTCTCCCCCAGGTCTTTTTTATCTTCTTTCCTACTACTTCCATCCCGCAGTAACCCGCAGATCGGCAATTCTACGTATTGTTATAAGTTTACAAATTATTTAATCGAAATACTTTTTTTAACTTAAAAAACACTACTGAATGGGTATAAAGATTTTAAGCTGCTTTATTTTCCCAATTTAAAAATTCTGAATCGAAAAACAAATGAATCTCTTAAATAAATATTTTTATTGCAGATGTGCCATAAGAATAGTATGTATATTCCACATGACATTAGAACGGGACGCCTATGTACAAGCTTTGGCGAGGTTTACCCTTCTGACTGCAAACTCCCCAATAATGGATATGAAAGCAAAAAATATAGACACTATTAAAACATTAATCATGGTAGCACATACGGATGGAAACTATTTAGGATCTAGTTGGTTGGATATCTTGAAGTGTATATCACAGTTGGAATTGGCTCAACTCATTGGGACTGGAGTCAGGCCGGAGTTTTTATCAGGTAAATTAAAAAATTGGATCAATAATAATTAATTAAACATTAGGAAATATAACAAAAATGTTTTATTATATGAAAGACTATTAAGATTCTGTTGGAATATGTATTAGTAAAATCCATACATTATATGCAAAATCTATAACATAAATTTACTTAAAGGAGATAACTGTGATTCTCTCAAAAAAATGTTTAGTTATTTCTATACCCAAAGTAAACCAGCATACTACACTAAGACCTATCCCTCTCAGGTCTTGTTTGCTGAAAACATTTGAACGAATTATAAAAAGCAGATTAAAATGGTAACAAAAATGTATTTACAATATCTCAGTATGGCTTTCGTAGAAATAAAGGAACTATGGATTGTGTTTCACAATTAAAGACTGATATTCAGTTATCCTATCCAAATAATATTTATCTTTTTCTTCCTTCTTGTATGTAGGCTTTAAAGCCTGCTTCTTCTTCAATATAAGCCTCCTAAATTGTTTAAATAGTCGCAACATCTTTTTCTTGGTCTGCCAATACTTCTTTGTCCATTTGGTGACTTATCTCATGCTATTCGTATTATCCTATCCTCTGCCATTCCACTAATGTGTTCGTTCCACTCCTGTTTCCGATTTGTCACCCATCCATTTATATCTTCTATATTGCATGCCCTTCTTATGTTTTCGCTTCTCTCCCTATCCAACAGACTTTTCCCTGATATTCATGGAAGTATTTTCATTTCTGTTGTTTCTAGTAGTCGTCTCGTTTTAGATGTATCAGTTCTTGTCTCCGCCGTGTATATCAATTTAGGTCTAATTGCTGCTTTATAGATTCTTGTTTTTGTGTCTTGTTTAAGTGTTTGTTCTTCCAGATTGTGTCATTAAGAGATCCCGCCGCTTTACTTGCTTTTAAGCTTTGTTGTCGTACTTCTTCCTCAACATCTCCGTAACTAGTTATATCTATTCCCAGATATCTAAACCTTGCTTCCCACTTTATTATTTTCCCATCAATTTCGAATTTACATCGTCGTGAGTATTTAGATGTTGTCATAAATTTGGTTTTTTTTGCTGATATTATCATATTGTTAATGTAATATGTAATGTTTTCTGCTGATATTATCATATTGTTAATGTACTATGTGTGTTAATCTTTGGAGATCGTCTTCTGTCTCGGCGATTAATGCGGCGTCGTCTGTATAACATAATATTTGGATTTCTTTGTTCTCCATTCTGTAACCATGTCCTTTACGTACTGCTTGTATTATTTCGTCCATTATTAGAGAATTGGGCTTAACGAGTCACCCATCTGATACCGCTTTGTACTGGTACACGCTGTGTTAGTTTTCCATTTATCTGTGCCTGTATTCGATTATGGAAGTAGATGTTTTTGATGGTTTGTATAATATTGATTAGTATATATTTTTTTATACACATATACAGTAGGTGTGAAACATCTTGACTTTGATGCGATCGAAAGCCTTTGTCAGGTCTATAAAACATAGATATACTGGTTTATTGTACTCGATGGTCTTTTCTGTGATTTGTCTTGGTACAAATACGGCGTCTACGCAGGATCTTCCGGATATGAATCCTTGTTGTTCATCTGATAAAGTTGTTAGTTTATTGATTTTGTTGGTTAGGACTTTTGTGGTAAGCTTAAGTGCGGTGTTCAGTAGATTTATACCTCTATAATTGTTGGGGTGTTCTTTATCTACTTTTTTGAACATTGGTATCATTATGCTGTTTTTCCTGCGTCTGGTATCTTGCAGTGCAATATTAGTTTTTGTGTAAGTGTTGTCATCTCTAGGGTTATACTTTCTCGTTCTTGCTGTAGAAGCTCGTTGGTTATTCCGTCTTGTCCGGGCGACTTTCTATTTTTGAGTTTAAGCTATCTCTTACTTCCTGAAAACTGATTTCTATTTCGTGTCCTAATTCAGATACGTTATTTTGTTGATTATTATTTTCCTTTCCTTTAAACAGTTCCGTCAGGTACCTTTCCCATTCGTTTGCTGGTATGATATTGTATTCCTTCACTTCTGCCATTTCATTCCGTTGATTTCTTATGAATCTCCATATTTGTTTTTGTGTACCGTAGAAGTCGCTTTCCATCCTTTTTTTAAACTGTTCCCAGTGTTCATTTTTTGTTCTTCTTACCAACTGCTTTGTTTCATTTCGTATTCTTCTACAGGCGTCTCGGGATACTGAAGTATTTGATGTTTTGTACTTTTATTTCTTTTCTGAACCATGGTGTGTTATTGTTGTTTCTTTTGTTTAATATCACTTTTCTTTTTTCTAGAGATTCTGTTGCTTCTTCTTCAATGTTGTTTTTAATTTTCTTCCAGCCCGCGTTTATATTTTTGATGTCTATCTGTTTCGGCTGTATCATCTATGCTAGCCTCCTTTGGTACATTTCTCTTGTTGAGTCGTTCCACAGTGATTTTACATTGAATTTTTCCTCTGTGATTTACTGTAGAAAACTCCTTAGGTGTTATTATATATAATATAATAATTATCTATCTGTCATATTTCTTGATATTTCAGGGGCTTATGTCAACGTCAATTTAAATATATTGTACAAAAAGCTAAAGCACATGAGCCTTGATGTGCATCTGTGTTAGTAAACTTATTCCTTAGGAGAGAAGTATTCATTTGATGCAATGATAGGTTGATTGGCCCAAAAGTAGTGCTTCAAGATTTACCACTAGGCTCTGTCCTTAGCCCCTTGTTGTTTAATCTATACACTATAGATATTCACAATATATTTCAATTGATAGTTCGGCCTTGAATGAACCACCGAGAGGCGTGTTAATTTTGGTCTCAACAAATTTCCAAATTTGTATCCATGGCCCCAGATATCCTCATCCAGCTTTTTATACAACTCTTTCCAGTGACTTCTTTTTTCTGTACGGATTTTCCTGTAAAGTTCCCTCTTCCTTGCGCGGTACTCTTCCTCAATCTCCTCGATGACCTCAGGGTTGATCCGCATTCCACCAGTATGGCATCCTGTTGACATGTTGGCGACCTATCTTGCTTCCTTCCATCGCTTCTTTAATGACTCTCTCCAGGCTTTCCACCGTCGGTGATTGACCTTGCATTATGCTCATTCTCAATTTAACCAGCTCCTCGTATACTTTCCAGCCATGCCCATTGCCGCATCCGCCCCCTGACTTCCCGGACGCACGGACGACCGTCTTAGTGGTCCAGGTTCCGGTTATCGAGAACTCGATGTACCGATGTTCAGTTCCGGTGTAGTCTGGCAAAACCGTTCAACCTCTTGCTTTCGCCGCCATTCCTTGTGTCGACATAGTCACGTCGATGTACGTACCTGTACCTCTCCTAACAAACATAGGCTCCAGACCTGTGTTCAGAACCACTAGGTGTAAAGTACCCACCCAGTCAGTCAGTATCCTGCCGCGAGTGTCGGTGATCCTGTATTTCCCACTTCCTGCATGATCTCGCCCATCTTTATCTCGTATTTGCCACCGTCACGTTTGTAGAATTATAACATCAGACTAGCCGCACCCCCCTCCCTTCCGAACAATCACATATCCTTCTTTCGGCTTAATTCGTACAGCAGCCATCTCGGTCGTATCTACAAACCATCCTCTTCTCTTCACCGCTGTTGGATTTGGTTCCGCCGTCACCAGCAGTTCGATGTTCTTTTCTACTGCGGCAGCCTCGGCAAAATCATGTACTTATCTTGCTGTTCCGACGTCAGTTTGGAGCACCCTCAGCTCTCGAGTCCTGTTTCCTTTGTTTGCCATTTTTAAGTCTTTCGCGCTCTCTTTTGTACTGTTTCCACTTTCGTACTCTTCTTGGGACGAGTCCTCAGTGATTCCTATTTTCAACCAGTCGGTTGAACTTTGGATATAATCTTGAATTCGTCACATGCCCAGTTACGTCGCGGTTGAGGCATCTGGTTATTTCTTCCTTGCATTCCAGCGCTATGTGATCCTCTTTGCAACCTCGGAAGTAACCACCTCTTCTCTTCTGCCCCTTTCAGTGCCATTGTTTGTGTCCAAAGGCGAGACATCTCAGGCATCTCGGTATTTCTATGTGTGATTATCTAGATTGGGACGTCAGATTGTATCGGAAACCAATCATTAGTAACTGCATAATACTAAAGTCGTCAGAGGCGAAAATGCCACTGAACCTCTAAAAATCATACGACCAACTGAATTTTGCTGAGGATATCAATTTGTGGACCCCAAAAAAGATGCAAAAATTTTACCACTTTTACCCCCAGGCTTCCCCCTAAAACCTCGCTCATAGGGGTGGGGCGAGTGAAAAAAATGTTTCAAACAAAAAAAGTAGCTGAGGTAATTTTAAATAAAAATATTAATTATCACTTTTTCTGTAGAAAGAACCGTCCTCTAAGAAACAAAGCTTGAAGCTATCGGTGTTTTTTAATGTCAGTTACGAAAAAGGACAGACACGCATTTTGCAGTTTTGGGATGAACTAATGTCGGATGAGGAAAGTGATTATGTAATAATAGGTGATGTTTATTCCTCTGATGCTTACTCTCCTAGTTCGCAAGCTTCGAGTGACTTGAAAGATGAAAATAGCGATATGACAAGAAGTAAATGTCATAATCGATTCCGGAGCATCTTCAAGCAAATCAAATAGTTTATCTACCTTTAAATGATGTTGGAGATTTGCCGATTAGCTCAAAAACAGTGCCAGATAATATCCATTCCAATTTACAAAATGTAGACAATGTTATTGAATACGTAATTTCCCAGTAAAGAGCTGAAAGTAATCCAAAAAATAGAAGTAATCATCAAAATGACCTAATTGACTTGAATAACTTACAGTGGAACCCTCTTGAGGAATCATCTTTTAAGACTTTTTATTTTGATGGAAAAGATACAGGCGTTAAAGCTCAAATATATGAAGATTATATAATTAAGGATCACTATAGTTTTTTTTAAGTTATTTGTTTGTGACGAAGTGATTACTCTCATGGTTAACGAAACCAATCTCTATGGCGAGCAGTGTTTGGCGAAAGATTGACTGACACAAAAATCGCGCATCAAAAAGTGGACTTCACCTA